TTATTATTTTTGTTTTTATTTATCATTATTATTTTTTTTTTAATTTAACTTAATTTATTCTATGCGGAGGTCGCTTAAGAATGCCTCTATTATAAACAATATATAATTATAATAATAAAACTTAATTCAAAAATACTTTGCAGAATATCTTGAATTTTTTATTTAATATTTGCAATTTAACATTTTGTTTTATATATTTACTGATTCTTAGAGGTAATTTAAATTGTATATACTTCCTCGGAAATGAGTCATATTAATACCTGTTTTATAAACTAAAATAATATATACCTAATTTGAACTACTTTTAATGAATAGGTGATGATTGTTTAGTAAAATTCATATATCACTATTACAAAAACCATTTTTATTTCCTTTATTTTTTTCGGAAGTTGGACCATATCACAATAAATACGAAATTTTAATATTAAATGCATTATTCTCTCTGCACAAAAGAAATATGGAAAGGGCGAAGATATAAGTTCTTATAGGTAACTTGAACTGATTGTTAGTATTCGGTCTCAAAATGAGTGAAAACGCGAAATTGAACCCAAACATTGGAAAAATACATTAAGTGAACGACAAAGGAAGTGCCGAAATTTCGGAAAAGAAAACAAGGATCAGTGTCCATTATATGGCTAAACGAATATATAGTAGACAGATGAACAGAATATTTCAAGATGCTGCTAAAAGAGGGTCAAAATGTTTGATGAGTTTGGATGATATTAAGCAAGTTTATTATGGTGAAGACCACTTTATCAGCAAGAAAGATTTGTTTTAAGCAATTGGCAAGTCAGATGGTCTGGAAGAAGTAACCCGAAATGCTGTGCGTACTAAGACTACAAATGTATTAGAAAATTATATGAAAGGATTGTAGTGTAGTTTTGTCCCTTTACAGGAAATGAGATACTAGGATATGTTTTTCGAGATTCCTTACTGTTTATAGTACCAAAGAAAGTCTACTCAAGAATCGTAGAAGCTAAAATAAGAAATATTGTCAATTGTCTGAGCGATATGGATTGAGAAACTCATGTTGCACATTGGAACATAAGTTGCAAATTGGGACGTTCTTCACTTTAAGGTAGGTTATAGAGAAGTCCACAGAGAAAGAAAAATGGTTTTCTATCTGCTTAGTGCCTCACACTTTGGATTGATCGAATATCTACTAGTCTTTCACAAAAGCTCGTTTTCCTTTCAGATTCCTTCAATAATTTTTTGCAATTGCACTAAGCCGGGGGAGAGCTATTTTCCTTTATCGATAGACCTCTCTATAACCTGCTTCAAAGTGAAGATAGTCCCAATGTACTTAAACTAAACTTCAATAGCAATCTAAAATAAAGTGGTTTACACCATTATAAACCTTGTTTACTTCCTCCAGACCTGCTTGCCAATTGCTTAAAACAAATCTTTATTGCTGATAAAGTGGTCTTCACCATAATAAACCTGCTTAATATCATCCAAACTCATCAAGCATTTTGACCCTCTTTTAGCAGCATCTTGAAATATTCTGTTCATCTGTCTACTGTATATTCGTTTAGCCATATAATGGACACTGATCCTTGTTTTCTTTTTGAAATTTTGGCACTTTCTTTGTCGTTCAAAAGTATTTTTGAATTAAGTTTTATAATTATATAATTTTTAAAATAGAGGCCTTAAGCGACCTCCGCATACAATAAATGAAGTTAAATTAAAAAAAAAAAAAATAATGATAAATAAAAACAAAAATAATAAATTTAAAAAAAATTTTTTTTACAATTAAATTATTGTATTAATATTTGTTCGTTAATACAATCAAAATAATATAACAAAAACGTTATTATACCACTATAACTAAGCCATTTATGAGTACTGAGTAGTGTGGTAGAGGTCTGTAGGCACCCACGCCGGTAGCGCTTAAGTACATTTTCTACGGAACTACTTCAAATATTTTAAAAAGTAATCTGTGTTTTAGAAAGAGAAATGTATTCTCAAGATGTTTTATTTCAACACGTTTTGCATTATTGTTGACCGTTTAATTACAAACGACGCTTGATTTTCAACTTGAAAATTTTTTTGTAAAATAAATTGACTTTACCGATTTTTTTTAATGCCTAAGCCAATTAGTTTTTAATATTTTTTCATGTTTTATTATTCTCTAACTATCCAGCTTTAATAAAAGACCAACTATAATGAAATTAAGCTAAATGCTGATTCTCAGTAACAAAAAAACTAACTAAAGTCAAAGTCGTCAATCCGCCATGTTTGGACGCCATTTTGGGGCAGTTCGTTCACTTTTTTTTGTGGGAACATTTGCTTTTTTTAAATAAATTGTTACAAGGAACACAACGATATGCAATTTATAGGGATGTGGGGGGGGGGGATGCACGGTAAGGGGGTCTAGCCCACAGACTAAGATAATACAAAGTAAAGGGGTTGCAGCCACACAAGCTCACCTTACTTGTGTAACGTTGTCATGAGATACAGATCATGCATTTTGTTAATATGACTATATATATATTCCCATGAATGAGAGAAGAGTAGATTCTTTCTTATAAATAAATTTTAAGACAAGCTCTGTATGGAATTAAAAACCTAGTTGAAACATGAAAACCAGAGCAACATTGCAGTATCCAATCCCATCCCATCCCACATATGTTATTTCACTAAGCAGCAAAATCAATTTGGTATCCAATATGTCATGTTCCAATGCTATGTATGGAGTATCATCAAATTCCTTATTTCATGGAGGGCACACCCTCGATTTTTTTTTCTCAAAAATAGTCGATCTAAACATTTCACTGGATTTCAAAACTTACTATCAAGATAATCATGAATACACTAATCGGCACTTGTCTATTATACAGACTCCCGTGATTTAATTCCAAATATCAGTGATTATATGAATGATCACTAAATTTAATAATGTTACTTGAATCCGTACAATACTTTTATTTTCTAGAAACGAAAATAAGAGTAGGTTATTGTCAAGGTATTCTACTAACCATATGTTATTACAAAGTTTAATATACACAATTTGAAGTAAATTTTCAGGATAATTAATGACAAAGAAACTGCAGTTCATTTAGTTCAAGGAAAAGGCATTATTCAGATGGAGATTAGCTAAGTAATAATAATGGACATTATATGAAACTATAAAAAGAAGAGGAAGCTTTTGAAGCAGTTTAATATATTATAAATGGTTTGGTTAAATATTAATTTGGACTGTAAATAAATACATGTTATAAATTACTTATGTTTAAAGAATCAGTGATATTTGGAATCATATAACGAGGGCCCGGATAATAGACTAGTACCCACTAATCATCAAATCATTAAGTTTCAAAACATTTGATTCATATGCTTTGGTTAATTATTTTCTTAAACGAACCAAGCACACCAACGTGTACGTTGTAAGCACACCAAGAAAAAAGATTAATTTATAACATTTATAATTTAGTAATTTACTTATTTCCATTTAATATTACCATAATGTTCACCGACCGATATACTATGGAAATTATTCGCAGAGGCCAACTCGCAGCTTTAAATATGGGATCATCCATAAGTGCCTATATACATATATATTATCATCTAACACCTTATCATCACATTCCATTAATAAGAAATAATAATCAGACCTATACAAAATAGGATAAGTGGAAAAAAGTTATTTCACAATCCACCATCAGAAGTTCGAGATAATAACCAATAAAATAATAAGTGAAAATGGTTTAAAGCATTCTTAAAATCAAATCCCTAACATTTGCTGAAAAAATCATAACTCCAAGTATCTTTGACATAGTTCAATCTATAGGGAAATTTAAATGGATATTATTATTAATAGGAATGGGGGGGGGGAATTCAAGATAAGTTAATAAGACATAAATTGCTATACACCACTATTAAATTAAACGAAAGATGAAGAGCTATACAGATTGCCAAACATAAATAAATCACAAAAAAATTATCACAAGCTAATACATAATATAAATAAATAAATCAAAGTATGGAGCTAAACATCATAACCATATTAAAGTCAGGTTATGGTATAAGGAATGATCACTAACTAACATTAAATTTACATGCATCAGAATTTCAAAATTGATGAAAATTAAATTAGAATTAATAACTGTGAGGATAGTGTGAGATTTAAAACGATTAGATCAGCTAAGAAATTACAAGCTATAAACAAATCATCTAGTTTTGAATTGATGGATATTGACACATAAAGTATTTTCGACAATTGGGAGGATTGTATCTTGAAGTTCATTATTTATAACATAATAATAATAAATGTCCCTAAATTAACAAAATTAAATAAAAATATCTTGCAACAGTATAGTATAGTAAAACCTCACATAATAAAGAGATGCATAACCAAAGGTTTATTGAAATAGTTCACAAAATTTCTAATCTGAACAAAATTATGTAAATAAGAACCCATAAAAAAATAATAAAGGTGACTTAAATCACAACTGAGGTTTAGCCGCAGAGTGAACTGACCACTCCAGCTAATATTTTGAAGAAAAGAAAAAAAAACCTTTATCATCATTTAACAATTACTTGTCAACTTGTTAAAAACAGTTTCGAACGTGAATATTGCATTCCAACCATTAGTGGCTCAATATAGAACAGGTTTTAAACATGTATTGGTATAATGACAAGATAAACTTTAACACTTTTTTAGAAAATGTGGGTTAGTCCACTCAGCTTTTTACTACTCTGATTAATAGATTATAAATAAAAGTTAAAGAGATGATAATTTAAAATTAATCCTCTTAATTAAAGCAAAAAATTGTACCATTACTTACTGACAATGATTTATCTATCTTTTATTGAATCAAGAGAAAACAAGCTAATACTTCAAAATAAACACATAGGTAATAATTGGATTTAATACAATAAGATTAATAAAAGTTGAAAACAGTATATCTTTAGTTTTATAAACAAATAATATCTATTGCAAAACAAAAAAAATCCTACTGAAGTAAGAAGTGTTTATGTAAACAATTGAATGAACTTACAGGAAGCCTGGAAAATGTTGTAGACTCCAAAACGGTCCAAAACACAGATATCATCAGTAAACATTAGATTTTCAACTTGACAAAATCACTAATAAGTTTCAAATAATTTTTGTTTTTCATCACCAACTAGTTTACCCACCACACGCCCCCTTACCACACTGTTATAAAGTGAAACAAGGAAAAAAACAGCATTTAAAGTATTTCATATGCATTTAAATATATTGAAAAATACGTTTCATCACCAAGTAACAAACAGAGAATGAAAAAGTGATATGAAGGTGGTTCGTGATAGCTGTTAACCGTCCTCCATTTTGGACAGAGTTGGGGCCTCGTTATGTGAACTAAGTACTTCTCAGACTCAGATTAGAGCTTCAATTCAAAACCACAACCATACACCTTAACAAAACATTATTCACTCATAAATTATGTGTAACAAAAATAAATTACAGTCTTAAAAAATACACAACTAGCCGGATTATGCTTGTGACGCACTCACACAAACACACACATACACGGTGATCGCTTTGACGGTAGAAGTATTTACTATCTTATAAGACACACATTACAGCCCGAAAAAATTCCTCTTTTCTTTACAAGAGTATAAAAATCCTCAGATGATTTAGTTTTAGTTCATACATTGATAAAAATAAGTTTTTTTTATGATAAATCGCACTAAAACTGAACAATAACAGAGGAAGCCATCTTGAATCCCCTTGCTGAACACACACTGAAAACTTGACATGCGCCATCGATCCGTAGGCTCAGTTATGGGCCAAGTCGTAATCAAGAAGGCATTAAATAGGAATTTTACCCGCGAAAACTACTTAAATTTATATTAAGGTTTTTAATTGGGTTGTCTGGAAAATAATGCATGATTTTGATTTAAAAAGAAAAAAGAAACATTTAAAACTGTTTATTTAATCAAAATAGTTTCCACTACTATCAATATATAACTGCCAACTGTTGGCAACTTTTCCATTCTCTCGGAATAGAATTTCTCATCTTGAGAATTGATATACTCCAAAAACGCATTTTCTAATTCCCTTTGTCCATTACATTTTTATCAGGTAAGTAGTGGTCCACGTACCTACAAAAAATGATAATCCGCAGGCGAGAGGTCCAGTGAGTAGGGCAGAAGTAGCAGAGTTTCATGTCCAGCTCCAACAGTTTTTGTGACGTCACATGTGAGACATGTGGCCGGGCGTTGTCATGCAACAAAATGGGGCCCTCTTGATTGACTACAAATGGCTTCATTATTGTCGATTACTGATGTGTTGCGTAAATTTGGTTACAATACGATTCGGCATTGATGGTTTCTCCAGGATTTGGGAAGCTGTAGAGCATGAATGAATGGCCAAATGAAGGCCACTAAACAGTAACCATCACCTTTTTTTATGAGTTGGGGACTTTGGTAAATGTCCTGCTGCTTCTCCTTTGTCGACCCATTGTCCAGAACGTCTATTGTTATCGTAAAGTATCCACTTTCCATTACAATTAACAATTCTGAACAGAAAAGGGTCGTTTTTGTTTCGGGTAAGAAATTTAGCACTAACTTCATAACGCTGTTCTTTTTTCTGGAGGTCGTTTAATGTGAGTGGAACCTAACTATTAAGCTGTTTTACCTTTTCTATTGCCTTGAGGTGGTCATCGACGGTCGATTTGCTAATGTTAAGTTTCCATGCATGTTCGTGAACAGTTGTTCTGGGGTTTTCTTCCACTAAAACCCGCAGAACATCGTTATAAAGAGAGGAAGTCCTTCCACGACCTTTTTTGTTTTCTAGCCTGAAGTCTCCCTCCCGAATTTTTTGAACCAACGTTGCTGAACAGTGCACTCATTAATGCTGCTCTTGCCCCAGACTTAATTGATGTTTCTGGTCGTCTGATTCCCATTCCGACCGAGTTCTAAACTCGTTAAACAAAATTATACGAAAATCGCGCGTTGTTACCATGACAAAAACTGAATTATTTCTAAGCAGCGAAATACTACAGTAGTAAAAAAACATTATCGCTTGGAAGAGGATTAATAAGTGTTGACATTCATACAAATGAATAATCCAGTAAACGTAAACAGTTTGTTATTTAGAGGTGTATTTTAAAGAAAACTCAAAATCCTGCAATATTTTCCGGACAACCCAATATCTAAGTCCTCTTCCAGACCTTTATTCTCGAAGATTGACCTCTTAAACCTTCAGTGATTTCTTAATGTTAGTAAGGGCAAATTAAATGATAAATTTATAATCTACTTACCAAGTAACTTTGTTGTGACCACATTCTCCTTGGTCTTGATTATGATCTAGCAATAAAATTGATTCAAATAATACAAATTATATTATAAAATATTTTTATTTTTACAACTTCCATCTTAACGGTAGCATAAACACTAAAATTATTAAACCTATGAAAACATTTTAACGAATAAATACATTTTTGGTTATTAAACTTTGTTATTGCCGTAAAACGGGGGAACTTTACACGTTGGATGTAACATAACCGACAAACCTAAACTCAGCGGTGATCTCATTGATTAAATCCATCAATCGATTAACGAAATGTGCTGAGTTTACGAACAACCTGCTGGATTCCAGGAAGGCCGTTGTTACTCCTGGAACGATGCAAAACACGTGCAAAATAGAAATTAAAAAATATAAGGAAATATCTATCCACTGAATGTAGAATTTCAAAACATGGGGTAGAAATAGGGTAAAAGCACCAGAAGTTGGCAGTACACCAGTTCTCACATCATCCTATAAAATTATGAATAATAAGATTTCATGACCTCCTAAACCTCAATTTTAAATATTAGTGACTTCTGCATAATCGCCTGAATATTGGTGTATTCTGCATTAGTCTTAGCGGGCAAAATAATTTAAAAAGAGGTGTTAAATTAGAAAGGTTCCTCAGATATGATTTAGTGTCTCTGGAAGAATCATCTACCAGTAAGGATACTAACGTACATTTTTTTCTTTTCCTCTTTTAACTTATAATAATAATAAAAGGCTTAGCGAACCCGAAAGTTCGATGCCGACACCACCAATAGCCTATTACACACCTCCCTCCACCCTTCGCCGTCCAAACCCTGTCCCTTTAGATCGGCTTTAACGCAATCTTCTCACCTTCGCTTCGGTCTACCCCTCGCACGTTTACCACTCGGTACAGCAAATATTAACCTTTTAGGAATTCTTTCGTTACCAAGCCCAACATTTTACAAGCCCATTTGATTCGCCGCGATGTAATCACCTCAATTATATTAACCGGATACAGTTCACGCAATTCGGCGTTGTGTAACCGTCTGAACTCTCCGGTTAACTCATCCTTCTTCGGTCCGAATATTCTACGCAATACTTTATTTTCAAAAACCTTAAGACGTTGCTCATCCCTTAATGTAAGCGGCCACGTTTCGCATCCATAAAGAACTGTAGGTAAGATAATGGTTTTATAGATTCTAGTTTTTAAGTTCCGGGACAAGAAGCGCGAGCTAAGTAGTTTTGTCACAGAAAAATAACAAGCATTTCCGCATTCAGCTAATCTTAATCTCCTCTTCAATTTCGTTTTTTCTAGTTATCGTAGACCCTAGATACCTAAACTTCTCTACGTGTTCAAACATATTACCTTCTATATCGATATCACAGCAATATCGCCATTTTTGCAGCTAACCATATATTTTGTCTTATCCGTGTTTATTTCGAGCCCTAGTTCTTTACCAGTTTTCATTAACGTTGTCGTATTTAGTTTTATAGTTTCCGTGTCTTCGCTTAACAGGACCAGATCACCCGCATAGCCAACCACGGGTGTTGTCCCACCCAGATCCAGGGGTGCCCACAAGGGGGCTTCATGGCGCAAGTTGCACCATCAAAATTTTTGAGGGGGTCACATTTCGACAAGGTTCAAACCAGGGAAAAAGAGGAAAGCAAAGAACAGACCACTGAAAGTGTCATTGCAAATGACCTATTATTTTTAAAATTCTACTTTAGCTTGCACTGTTTTTAAGTAGTTGAGAGCAATAAAATATTGAAGAGCGGGGGAGGTTCATGCGCCATCGACCTCGAGGGGAATGGGCACCCCTGCCCAGATCCAACCCTTTTTCGGTACACATTACCTCAATAATGACATGTTCTAATGCCAAAATGAATAATCCGCATTGCTAGTCTCCGATCATTTCCTCGGCATATTCCGTGATTCGACTATTTAAGATTAATGTGTGAATATTTTATAACATACCGGAAAGAGTGAAATTCTTCGATAGTTATTGCACTCCGCCCTCGGACCCTTTTTGTGAGTCGAAATAAGAATAGATTCTTTCCATTCTTCAGGTAATTTTTCATTCTCCCAGATCCTTTTTAACAAACAAATGTATTTTAGAAACTCCCGCTTCCCCGCATGCCTAGTTCGCTAGGAATATAATCGGTTTCCGCTGTTTTATGAGACTTTAATTTTCCGATAGCTACTTCTACTTCATCTTTAAACATTTCTTCTATTAACAGTTCAGCACTCTGGTACTCAAAAGATCGTAATTTCCCGTATTTAAAATATTGTCAAAATGGTTCTTAAACTTGTTTAATAGGTCTACCGAATCGGTCAGAATGTTGTTATTCTGATGATCCTAAACATTTACGTGATCTGTTTACACCTTTGTACATGCCTCTTACGTTATTTTCGAGTCTATTTATATTATTTTATTTTTAGCAACACAGATTCGAGGAATGCACTAAGTCTAGGCAAACTCCAGCCAAGTGTGCACTATGCCATCTAAATCACCCGGCAAACTACAAGGGATGCCAAACTTATAAAATCTTAAAATCAAGGACACAGGCAGCACTTAGACAGGAAGAGACCTTCAAGGCCACCCACACGATGTGTGACCAACGAAGTTTTCTATGTTTAAGAAATAGAACAGACCAATCAATCTCAGGCTCTGCCACAAACTCAACAAGCTCATGTTCACACTAGCGCATTCAGCTGAGGGGCGCACGCCCCCCTCCCTTGAGGCTGGAAAAAAATTTCAAAAAAAGTTCCAAAAAGCAGCTATTTAAAGAAAAGAGAAATATAGGGAAAATTTATCCTCACAGACGATGAATTTCCTAATGTAATATAAAAAAAATATATTATCGTGACTAGCAGTAGCGAATTCTGCCAGGGACATTCCCTCCATTGGATGGAGAAAAAAAAAAAAATACGACAAAGCAACAAAAAAAAAAGCTATTTAAAGAAAAGAGAAATGTAAAGAAAATTCATCCTCATACACGAATTTGCTAATGTAATGTAAAAAAAAATTGTTATCGTGACCAGCACTAGCTTATTCTGCCAGGGGGCGCGCCCTCCCTTGGGTGGTTAATAAAAATTCCAAAAAGCACCTATTTAACGAAAAGAGAAATATAGGAAAAAATCCTTCTCATAGACGAATTTCTAATGTAATACAGAAAAAAGTTATTATCGTGACCAGCACTAGTGATTTCTGTCTGGGGTCTCTCTCTGGATGTTAGGAAAAAAAAATCCAAAAAAAAAAACAGCTATGTAAAGAAAAGAGTTTTTGGGCCACGTGTGATGGGAAGCTTGTACTTCTTTCGCTGTTTGTTCCTGTTTACTCCGAACTGAGTCTCGCAGGTGAAATACATGATGTAAGAAAATTTATTTTAAAAAAATTAACTTCATCTATTCTTTCGAACAACCTTTTATTCGAGCACAAGAAACTACGGGTTTTCTTCCTGGCCCAGTTTTACTCAGTTCTAATAGATCTGGAC